CTACAGACATCGGTCTTGTTTAACAAAATGTGCCTACAAGAAAATCTGTCACCAAAGTACACCAATATATATATATAACAATTGTTGTACACTGGTAAAAATATGTATGTGAAATATCTACAGATAAGTGATAACTATGTTAATCACCTGAAAATAAATTTAAAAAAAGACCCAAAACTCAAGTGCTTTTGAATAGTTGACTGTTCTTCTTCAAATGCATTCAAGTTTTTGGTCCTTTTTTTTTCTCCAAAGTTCATTGCACCTTTTGTGTGTGATCCTGTGTACTAACTCTTTTATCAGAATTAATCACCTGAAATTTAATGTAAGATCATAAGTATAGATGAACTTGAAGGTAAATAGGGTAGCATCTAATTAATTACCCTTTATGTTGATAAATTTATTTGTAGCCAACAACTTACAAAACTTTGTGAAGTCATTGTTTATAAAATCAAGATACCATTAAGGTATGAAGATTGGCCATACAAGTATTTCTTGCAGAAATTTTTTTTATAGCTTTTTATTTCTATAAACATCAGCATGCACATTTATACACCATAGCCATGTTGGTTGTATTAATAAAGTATTCAGTATCTTTTTGTTTGGATAAGTTTTGGGGTAGCATGGTTCATGGTAAAAGATGTACTGTAAGCACTTGCATAGACACATAAAAATTCTAACAGGTGTGTAAAAACAAAAAGCATGTTTATAGCTGTACAGTTTTTTCAATAGAATTAATGACAGCGAACTTGTTTTTTGTAGATCTAACTAATCCGTTCCAGATTGATACTATCAGCAGATGAATGGAATTATTTATGTTAGTAATTGTCCCTCTTTAAGGATTTTAACAATCAATTTTAAACTTTCTACAAATTTCTTAATATTATTAGGATATTATTGCTACTATTGAATTGTAAGTTTAATATTTGTTTAGGATTGAACATTTGTTATAGTGTTTTTGTGCAAGATTCTATTTCTGCTGTGTTGCATTTTCACAAGATCTTCTCAAGTTTTTACGGCATTAGCTGATTTGGTTTTTTGGCACATAACCTTAATTTCTTACTACATCTCTTCTCCAGTATTGCAGTTAGTTTACGTAACTTATAATGTTTAAATAAGTTGTAAAAATGTTATATATTTGGTTGAAGATCAACTGATATCTTTTTTATATGTTTTTAATATATAAACGTTCATGCTTTTCAGAACGAGCACTTTATTGTATGGAGTGCTGCTTTCATCCACTCTTCAACGTTGCCCTTGGCAACTGCCGGCTGGATTATAAACGAGCTGAGAATAGGTGGGTGTAGTACACGTATAGCTCCAGATTGTTGTTGCACATTTTACTTTTCATATACATTTGATTTTTCTTTAATAATAAGTAAGTTTATAATTAAAAGTTCTAATTTGAAATGTCCACTTAATTATCTCTCTGTTTAGCTACCTATGTTTAGCCATGTGTAAATATATTTAAATAGGCATGCATAGTTTAGTTCAATTGAATGTGTTATTTATAACAATAGTAGTTTTTTTTCTTTTAAAAACATAACTATTTATAATGCTCCCTAAATAATAAAAAAATAAATTACAGTGAAAGCAATGAAGATTTTGTAGGTTTTGAACCAAACTAAATAACAGTAAACCTTTTTTTGATTTACAATATTTCCTTATTTTGAGCTGTTTTGTGTTTAGAACAATATAGATATACTAATTTTTAAAGTATCAAATTAAATTTTTGTTCAATAAAAATCTTTCAAATTTGACTGTAGCTTTTTTTTCACCAAAACTTTGTCTTCAAAATAAGGGTGCGTCTTATATTCCAAAAAACATGGTATAAACTATACTGTATAATAGTGAATTTGAGAAACTATCACCAATTCTATATCTTAAAGGTAACTATATTTTAAAAAAAATTTAAACACTTCATGGAATTCTTTACTTATTACAGCATAAGAATGGATATTATTGAATAATCTTTTAAGATATTTTTTTATTGCTTGTAACTAACAATAGACACAAAGCACAGACTTACTATAAAAATCCCTAATTTTTATATATGTAGTGAAAAATTGTTAAATATTGATTTTATTCACTTCATATTTGATGGTGATTTTTCTGAATAGTTGGCAGTAGGTGTTTAATCATGTTAAATAAATATATATTTTATTTTCAGGTCATTTTTTATTGCAGTTTTTAAGCACATGAACTTTGTTGGTCAGCGTGGTTGTTCTCGTACTGCTCTAGAATTTTGTAAAGTACTTCTTGGGTGAGACAATCTGTGTATTTACTTGTATTATATTTAAACTTTAGTATTTACTACATTTGTATATACCATGTCTTATTACTTATGCTAAAAAAAGTTATTTTTAGTTTGAAAGTATGGTAAAAATAATCTAACCAGAAGTTTTCTGTTTCAAAAATATGTCATACAAATTATAGAACTAATTGAAATTAAATCTGAAAATTGTTAAACTCATTATAAAGGGAAAAGAATTATGAGGTGGCTTGACTGAAAGATGGAAAATATCATTATTCTTTTACAATGATTTATAACATTGATTCATTTTTCAGATCTTGTTTCACTGTTGTTGCTTTTGAAAGCTGACAAAAAAATAAGTAGATTTGTAAGTCCAGTGTTGCAGGTTTAAATTTAAAATGTTTTCAGAGGATAGAAAGTAAACAGGTGTTTGAAATAATTCAATAATCTAGTGATATGGAGTTAGGGCTTTAATTGTCTAGTGGTGTGGAGTGAGGGCTTTAATAGTCTAGTGGTGTGGAGTGAGGGCTTTAATAGTCTTGTGATGTGGAGTGAGAGCTTTAATTGTCTAGTGGTGTGGAGTGAATGCTTTAATAGCCTAGTGGTGCTGAGTGAGGGCTTTAATAGTCTTGTGGGGTGGAGTGAGGGCTTTAATAGTTAGTGATGTGGAGTGAGGGCTTTAATAGTCTTGTGGTGTGGAGTGAGGGCTTTAATAGTTAGTGATGTGGAGTGAGGGCTTTAATAGTTAGTGATGTGGAGTGAGAGCTTTAATAGTCTAGTGGTGTGGAGTGAGGGCTTTAATAGTCTTGTGGGTTGGAGTGAGGGCTTTAATAGTTAGTGATGTGGAGTGAGGGCTTTAATAGTCTAGTGGTGTGGAGTGAGGGCTTTAATAGTCTAGTAGTGTAGAGTGAGGGCTTTAATAGTCTAGTAGGGATACAGAGATACAGTAGTGAAAATAACAGATAAAATATAAATTTTTTTTCTAAAAAACATTTGATAATTATCTGGAAGTTATAAAGATTTTGCATGTGAAATTTGAAAATTTTCTGATGCATAAAAGTATTTTTAATCTTAAAATCAAAATTACTTTGCATGTTGGATAGTCAACATTTGAAAAAGAAAAAGTCATGAGAAAAGCATTACTTGAAAAATCTTGAAACTTAATAAAATAATCTGATATCTTGCATATGAAAGCCTTGTAATGTTTACTGATAACATGAAAAATTTCATAAATATATGCTTTCTAATTTAAAAGTTATAGCATGAAAACTATAGCAAGCACAAAATGGTTTCAAAGTCGGGCCATGGGACGAAGCCTGTGCTGAAAGAGTTGATAGGTTAAATTGGGTAGAGACACGGCTTTAATAGTCTAGTGGTTATAGACTGAGGGTTTTCATTTTTCGTTGTTGTTTGTGGATTTTAATAGTTTTTATTATATACAATATTTTAGGAAGCTTTCATAGGTGGGTGATTTAAATATTTCATTGTTGTATCTTTTTTAAATTATCAAATGGCTTTTTTTATTATTAATTTACTTCATTACTCAGGAGGGAAGATCTTGGGTTGTTTTATTAGCTCAGTAGAATAAGATCGGATATTCGAGGTTACATTCATAGATTTTTACTAAAATATATGGTAATTTTAAGTTGTTTTTTATAATTTGTTGCTATAGGACAAAAAAGTTTGAGAATACTTTAATAGATATAGAGTGAAAGATGATGATTTGTGGTTATTTTATTAGCTAAGTGCCGATAAATTGTTTCTAGTATCAAAATTAGATATTAAAATGTGATCATCAATAACTTTTAATTAAAGGAAACTACCTGTGTAAATCATAACTAAAAATCAACCCAGTAATGAACAGAGCTAATTTAAAACTACTATGAGTATGCATAGTAATAAAATATTTTAATTAATACTAGCTTCTGGTCAAAGTAAACTACCTACATAAGTCAGAACCTAGTAATCAGAATAACTAATTAGATAAAATGTTCATACTATATTACTTATAATGATTATTATAGTTTCATCAGATGGATAACCTTGCTTAACAGTGTTTTCAGTTGTAAAATGTGCAATATCTCATAATTTTAGGTGGATTAGAATGCACTGATTTAATAATATTATTCTCATTCATAATTCCAATAATATTCCATGATATTTGGCTGGTTTAGGAGATTTAGGCAAGTCTTTAATCCAAATACTAAGCTAATAATGCAAAAATATCAAAAGAATATATAATATGATAAAAACGTATATAAATGAAATTAATAAATATATTATTCATGTTAAATATTCTAATCAATACTGCCAATGAAGCTAACATTAAAAAAAGAATAGAATATAATTTACTTATAAGTAAGTTATTATTAAAACATATTATGAATAATCTAACTGTTATGGTGTAAATGTCTTTTCCAAGCTAGTGAAGTATGATTATAATTAATTATACCTGTCATAAGACATTAGTATTAGGCTTACTCTATTTTTAACACTGCATTCCTTATCTGTTCCCTTAAGGATTTTCAAGAATAAAAAGAGTGTATATTAACAGTATTCTAACAACACTATATCCATTGCTGACAATGAGTTTTATTCAATCCAGAGCTCATTGGGTCAGGTGGAACACAAAAAAACACAGCAGTGATTGAACATACTATCTATACACCTGGAAAAAAGTTAAGCACCCCCAAATATTTTTCAGGATTGCTTATTGAAAATAAGGTTTAATTTTCGTGATGTTGAGCAATGTTCATAATTTCAAACATAATTAAAAGGATGTGAGCGTTCAGGTGTGACATTTAAATCAGGCGCGTTTTTTTCCCCACGCGCAACTTGCTCCCTTCTTCA